CAGCCACAGGAGGAGGATCTGGATGCTGGGAAGGTGCTGCTCTGGCTCCTAAACACTCCCCAGCCTCACTGAACAGCTCATGGCTTCTTCAGGAAGAAATTCTTGTAGCTTTTACCACTTGTCCCTCAGGAGCAGAAGTTTAAAATCCATGCACACAGAGAGAGCCTACTGAGCACTTCTTGTTCAGAGTTCAACATATAAAACTATTTGACTACATCACCAGAAGCATCACAGCAGCTCCTGTTTGCTCTTAGAGTAAAAGGACACATGGTTGTCAAATATCCCAAACTCCGCTTCATCTCTTTCTCTTTAATACTGGGGTAGCTTGATTCCTTTCAATTAACAGTTGGGAGTCCTTGGTCCCCTAAACTGGGAGGTGTTGCACAGATGGAAACTAAGGTGAAACTGAGCAAAGTAATAATGCTTTCAAAAATTATTTTTCTTTCTTTCAGCAATAGTCAGTTACATGATCCTAATTTCCAAAACTATCAAGGAACATTCATCTAAACTATGGATTAAGGACTGATAATGCTTTTAATACTTCTCTTTTAGACACTGTCACTTTCACAAACAAAGATGCAGGATTCTCTTATTAAAATAACAAATCCTTTATACTGGATATTAACAAAGTGCAACCTCAAAAAGGCTCCAGTAATCTCATATTTAACTAGACATTATTAAATATTTACAAAGCTGTAACATTCTGAAGAGACATAATTATAATGGAAAACGACAGGCATCATTAGAATTCCACCTGCAATGAATGAAAGAATTGAGAAGTCAGAAACTGAAGGGAGTTTGTTCTGTCATTACAGCATGGATTGGGCGCAAAAACCTTTGGATTTCATTCCTAACTTTCACTGCTGACATATTTTTGACTGTGTAATACCACACTGTATGCACTTAGCTTTTATAGACTTCATTATCTGCTTGTTTATAAGCGGAAAATAATCATTCCTCCTCTCAAGGGTGCTGACAGTCTTACTAATTGCAATCCATTTTGAGATCATCAAAAGAAATATCAGATACAAGTAGAAAGCATAATGGTTATTTTACAAAAGCATTTATTAATCACCAAAATTTGGTTGTAACTTACTTAATTCCCAGTCCATCCTTATTTCTGAAGATGAGGGGAACTCTGAGAGCTTCTCTTTGCACATACTCAAAAGTAAAATCTGTGGAAATGAATATGAACAACATCCAAAAGCAATTACAATGGTGTTGGCACCTCACAGTTACATTTTCTCAGACTCTCCCCATTTCCCTTTTCTCACCAAAGAACTCCCTATCACCTAAAGAGAAATAGAAAGAGAATGCATATTTTAGATCCAAACCGGAAACCCAGTGACAGACAATGCTGTCCCAGCTGCTCCCTATTTTTCCTGTTCACTGATGCACATAAAATAGAAGCCAGTCAGTTTGTCAATTAAGGTCTGTGTTGAAACACCCAGGCTGTAATGAAATACCAAATTAACAGTTAAAAGATAATCCTGACCAAATACTGCAAATCAGTCAGGTATTTTTTGGGCAAATGTGTAGTTTAAAATGTATGTGTAAGTTTAGATTTTCTAAGTTACACATTTCTACTTAGATAAATACACGTTTTCTTGTGAGCATTATCTGATTCTAGCAGAGAGCTCTGATTCCATGAACACATAATTCTTTTTATGTGGGGGTTACTCTTGGTTTCAACAGAACAACTTTTCTTTTAATTAATCAGCAATGTAACTCCAGGAGCTGATAGTCAGATTTTATACAGCTCCTAGCACTTAGGAAGTCTATGAAAAATGAATTGTGGGGAGTCACAGCATAATACACAATCAAAGTGAAAATTAAACATAAATTTGTCATGTTAACACTGGCCAGAATTACCTTGTTGCTCCTCTCTGAGGATTACACAGGACTGGCCTTTCCTGGGGATTTCTCTATGCATGGTCTGACACAATAGCAGTGATTTGGGGATTAGAGAGGAAATTACAAGGCAGCGATTTGGGTGAGCCATGGCTACAAAACCCCACACTCAGTTTGGAGCCTTCTGCCACAGAGAGCAGAGGAATTCCTGCAGCAGTCATGGACTGATTCTATGGCTCTGCTATTTCACCATTTTACAGGAAAAAATGACTTTTAGAAAGGCTTTCCATACACTGCCTTGCAATGGAAAGCATGGCTGGACTGTCCAGCACTACAAAATGCCCTGCACTGCCAAACCCAGAGCCCACTCCCTGCAGTTTATTCAGGTACACATGAGCAGTTTAACTCCAAGGTTCTTCCAGCTGTCCAGGCTTCCTGGGCCAGCACAAGCACCTCAGCCTGAGCTCCTGTTCCTGGTGTTTCTCTGCTCTAAAACCCACACTGAAGGCAAGAGGGGAGCCAGAGGCCAAACTCCCATGCCTGCACATGTACTGCCCTCTATTTTTACTTTTTCTTTGCTGTATTCAGTTAGTAATTATGACAAGTAGGAACATTACATCCCTACTTAAGAGTTACCGAATCAGAGCACTGTAATTATCCATTTACAGAAACATTAAAACTACAGAAACTTTATTGCCACTAGTGTCAAAGTAAGTGTAATGAACACTCCATTTAACTAAGGTTACCAAGTAAATATTTCTGTGCTAAATAAGTCATCCTTCCCCATAGGCATCCCCATTAAAGCTATTGCCTTCTGGTAAGCAAATAAATAAACCACAGAGACTTTTTAGAGACACTGATCCAAGTCAGAAAATCAACAAACATCAGGAGTAATATTGGTGGAAGAAGCAGAGGCAGCTATGTAGCCTTGCAGACTAGAGAACAAGTAGCTATGACATTCAAACTGCATTCAAGCCAAAAATCACACCACTTCAAGATGAGTTATCATTAAAAATAAAAACAAGGACATGGGAAAGAAAAAAAAAATATTGCTCAACTAATTCCATGTGTTCATATAAATTGCTTTATTCTTCCTTACTACTGTCATTGTTTCAACCAGATTCAATTCAACTCTTAGGTTTATAAAGAAAAAAAGTAAACCAAGAGTAAAAATAAAACCAGAGCAAATAGCAAGGCAGATCCTTTCTTCCTAATGCCCCAACAAAGCATTTAAATCCCTTGTGGGGTTGAACAAAGCCGACACAGACCACAACAAAATAACAAAAGACACTCATTTATTTTCAAGTTCCCTAGAAAGGAGAGAGCTGCCCAGAGATTTTGGAGCTGCCAAGCCAGGGAAGATGTGGATTGTACTATCCTTAGCATGGAGCAGTGGCAACCATTGGAGTGTTTGGAAGCTGAGGGTAGAATGAAATCATTTTCTGGAAAATTAATTAACATTTTCCAGCTAAAAAATAGTTGCTTGTGTTTTGTTTGGAGGAAGAGAGGTCAGGGTTGAGCTTATCTCCTAAACAAATACCTTCCTAAGATAGGTATTCAATATCTCCACCGCATCAACTTTTCTAAAAGGAGCTTAAAAAGCTCATGCAAAACTAAGCCTAGGGGAGAAAAGGAAATTTTCTAAACTCGATTAGTGGCTCCACACAGCTAGAGCAATTACAGCCAAAACTTCTCTTTCCTGAGAAAGCCATCCTGAACAGGCTCCTCAGTCAGGCCGAGTTTTGGTGATAGCCATCTGGGATTAGGGATCCGTGTCAACAGCACAGCGGTAAATAAAGGTGACCTGCAACCCCCCCGGCCCGCTGGATTCCCGGGCAAACTCTCCCGTTTCCCTTCCTGCCAGGCAGCGTGCGGCAGAGCTGGGCTGTCTGGCTCTGCTTACCGCGCCGGAATTCACCTAAGCAGAGCGAGTAACTTTGGGGAGGGGAGCGCTGTAATTTAATATATGATAGACGCACAAAGAAGTTATTGACTTGAAAGTCTCCGAGCCTGGCGAACAGGCTCATCAATCGCACTCTTTCGCAAAAGGGGTCCTGGATTCAAGAGGGGGCGGAGGGGGAGCAGGAATCACCTCTGGCTAAGTGGGGGCTGGGGTTTCGGCCTCTCCCGTGCCAGGACCTGATTGCTGAGCAGCCCGGTGCTGCGCTGGGGTCACGGTGGCGGGGCACGGCAGGGGGAGCGCTGGGCGCTGCCATGCATCAGCGCGCTCATCCCAGCACCGCGCCGGGGCAAAGCCTCCCTCCGGCTGCGGGGGACGGGCCGGAGCAGCCCCCTGGGACGGGCCGGGCTGCAGGGCCCCACCAGCAGCGGCCCCCGGCTCCCCTCGGGCCGGCAGCGTCACCGGATCCCCGGGCAGGGCGCGGGCGCGAAATGCGAAGCCGGAGCGGAGCCGCACGTGGAGGCGGCGGCGAGCGCGGCCGGACGGCCCCGGCCCCGCAGTGTTACCTTTGCCGTCCATGGCATGCACGAAATCCCCGTGGTACATTTTACTCTTTAATTTCTCTTCCAAATTGAAACTCCTGATGCTGACAATTTCCTCCACGTCCGAGAGGTCCTCGTTCTCATCGTACCGCCTTCGGCCGATGCACCGCTAGAAAAGACACAAAAAACAAAATAAAACACATTGTCCGGAAAAGAAAAAATCGAGGAAAGCACATGGATCGTGCACAACGGTTTGATAAACACATCCTAGGGGAAATAATTAAGATGGCAAGGCACAAACTGAACAAAACCTGAACCCAAACAAGCTCCAACCCCGCTGCATGCACCTTTTCCATCCCGTGACACGGAACTCGGCAGGAATAACAGGTGCTTGGCTTCAGGAAAACTCAAACTTGGGCTGCTGAGCAGGGGCTGGCGCTGGAAGGCGAGCGGGGGACGCGTAACTCGCCGACAATTCACAAGCTACAGCACCGAAGCGTTTTGCGATCCCGTAAAAACCCTTGAACGGCGGTAAACGCTCGTTAACGACCGGATCATTATTTTAATTATTATTATTATTGTACGTGAACACGAGCTAATTCCCCGGTGAAGGGAAGGGGGGCGAATCTTCGCATCTGATGCCCAGCATCCAGGTTTCGGTATTTACATAATCCGAGTGTTTCCATAGTCACACCGGAAGCGGCGATTTAAAAACCAGATCGCTTTATGTAACGCCGCGATGGATGCGCAGCCCCCGCGCGCTCCCCCCGCCGCCCCGCACGCTCCACAACGCCGAAAGCGCGGGGCTCCGCGCCCGAGGGGCAGCAACGAGCTCAGTGCGGGGGGATGCAGGCTAGGCCCGGCGGAGGCCGGTGACGCTGCCCCGGGGAAGCTGCGGCGGGCGCGGAGACCGGGCTGGAGGCGGCGGGGACCGGCCGCGCACAAGGTAGGTCCCCGCAGGAGCGGGGCGAGCCCGGTGCACCGGTTGCCGCCGGCGGCTCTGCCCCTCCGCCGGCAGCTCTCGCCCTGCGAACCCGCCCCGCAGCCCCGCGGACACGCGCGGTGGATCAGCGCAAACCCGCACGCACCGGAAAAAATAATGATCCGTGATCGTCCCACCCTGCCCGTCCCTCGGCTCCATTCCGCCCCTTCCCCGCTGCCTCAGCCGCGCTCTTGCAAACTAAGTCGCTCCGCTGCCTACGTCCCACATGCATTTCTCCCTTTGCAAACAATTAAGCAAAATCAATTAAAAGGCACGAATAGGAAAGAGACCGAAGCCAGCTACACACCAATCTTCTTCCAGAGTCTTTCTTTGCCTCCATTTTTTTTGAGAGTTTCATCACTTATTTGTCAACAGTTCCTGTCCTGCATATTTGGCCCAAATGGGGAGGAGGCAAAACAAAAGCCATCCAGGGCTCGCTAAAGTTTTGCAATTTTGCACCAGGACTTTTTTTTTTTTTGGGGGGNTTGATGTCCGGGGGCACGGCACAGGAGCGGGGCTGGGCTGGCCAGGATGGGGAGAACGCCCGGGGTACCGAGGCGGTACCGGCGCTGGGCTGGCCGGGATGGGGGCTGGGTGGGATACCGGGGCGGTACCGGCGCTGTGCTGGTCGGGATGGGGGGCTCGCCGGGGTACCGGGGCAGCACCGGCGCTGGGCTGGCCGGGATGGGAGGCTGGGTGGGATACCGGAGCGGTACCGGCGCTCTGCTGGCCGGGGTACCGGGCGGTACCGGCGCTGTGCTGGCCGCCGGCCCCGCCGTGCGGTGCTCGGTCACGAGTGCGCGGCACGCAGGCGCTGAGCGGCAGCGGGGGGACGGGGACGGGGCCCCACAAAGGCGCGGACGGTCCCTGGGTTGGTACCGCAGCCCCCGGGATGCGCCCGAAGAGTTGAGCGGTTCTGCTTAAGTGGGGCTAATTTGAGCTCCGCGAGCGTGCCCGACCCCGGCGAAAAGCCGGGGTGAGGAGTGGCGAATTAATGTAGCAAACACTTGAAAATAATCTTATAATGCACGGACTTGGGGTTAATTGTGGCGGTGGCTTCGCTCCGTGCCTCTGCCACACGTGCGGTGCAGCTCGGCGCGGAACGCGCACCCCGGCTGTGCCGGCACCGCTCCCGGCACTGCACCCACGTGCAGAGAGAACCGGCCATAAAATCCAGAATGTATTGTAAATAGTGCTAAACAGGTGTTAAATAAACCACAATTGCTTTTGCAATATGCATGTACAACAGGTAGTTAGAAATCGCACAAAAAAAGAAGAAAAAAATGCTGTAAAGTAGCTGCTGATACAAAAAATCTGCAGGATGGAGATCCTGCAGTTCCTAAAACTATCGGCGGGTCTCATTTCTACAACACCCCCTAACATCTACTCTAAATTGATGCTGAGCAAGTATTGGGACCATCTGATTGCAATAGCAGGGTCAGAGTGCAGGTTTTGAACAGCCCCCAGGTTCCACAGCGTGGCTCCTCTCTGAAGTGACATCCTTTACTTCCCCTCCACATCCCCCAAGAAAGGGAACATCAAAGGATACCCAAACCAGGGTCGGGGTTGATGGCTTTGGCAGTGCTCCTCTGGTTTGCTTTTTGCAATCAGTTAAGCATCCTAGGTATTATATGAAATATATTAAGTGTTAATGCAAAATTTAAACCACATTAAAATTCAGCTTTGCAGGCCTTGCCGTTGATCTCTTTGGAACAATCCCTATTTTAATGATCCATGGATAAAGGCAGGAGAGGACGGAGTCCTAACAGGATTTAAGGCAGCGAGCTTCTCCTTCTGATTCTGCCAAGAACTGTTTGCAGAATCTTGAAAAATCATGTAATCTTTCTCTAACATCTCCCTGTTTGCAGATGATTGAACTTTATTATGGTATGGAAGTGTTTTATAGGCTATATATTGAAGTGTGGATTCCAGATGTCTGTTGGAGCAAGTGCATTATTAATCCATAATCCTGAGGAGATATATACATATCTCGACCTTTCAGCCAAGATTACTCAATCTTAAAATTAAATACATGTGTACATCTGTAGGATTGAGGTCAGAATACAAGATAAATGGATGTTACTAGAGAATCATCAGACAAAAAACACATCATCCATCCATGCTGCAAAAGTCTACCAAAAGAGACAGAACAGAGACATAAAAGAAAATCAACTCATTTTTCTAAATATTTTTTTTTGGACATGGACAATCTGAGACTCTTGGTGTATCAAGCAAACCCACCAAGACTGTATCCATCACATACACCTGGAAACATCAGAGCACATTATGGAAGTGTGGAAGTAAATGTTTCAGAAACAACACAGTTTCTATCTATAGATGTCCAAAAATAGAAGACACTTTTTAAAGCTTGTTTTAAGACAGAAATTATACCGATTCAACTATAGTTCATTATGCCATGGAAATAATCTGTGTGTCCATAACAAAAAACCTATCCCAAACTTAAAATAACGGGGAAAAATGGGGAGGGGGAATGCGTACGTGGTGGATTATGAGAATATCCATATCCACAGATGTCTTAGGATAAAAACATTTAGAAGCAAGATTAAATTCCTATACTTTGTGCTGGCTGATGAGGGTTGGGGCTGGTTTTCCCTCTGGGCAGATCATGGCACAGTTTTCCAACAGTGCCCAGAGCTGGGCCCCATCCAGCAGTGCTTGGATGGGACATCCCAGGACTGACACAAGGGGCCTTCACAGTCAAAAATATGGGAAAAACACATCAAAATGCTGTGCTTTTTTGGCACTGTGATACAGTGTCAAAACTACAGCATCTACTGTGGAAAGGGGGTGGTGGTTATTGGGAAAGTGGCTGGGCTGAACTCTGAAAAAAACACTAGAACTTTTTTTTGCTCGATGTTAATGTAGCTTAAATTATTTAAGATCTAATCATGCCAAGACACTGGATCCTGACCTCGTTAGCTTGGAACTGGGAGCTGTCATTTAATTAATGTTGTACTGCAGGGCTCATGCTGAAACCAGAGCTGAAGTTCTCTGCTGGGGAAGCCTCTATGAAGACATGGGATCATTTCACCCCACTGAGCTTTAAAACAGTTCCCATTGCACAGAATGGACTGGACTAACCTTAAAACATTTTTAAAATACTGTGTATCCTTTAAGATCTACCATTCTATACTTTCTTTACCTCGGGTTAGGATGGAAGATGAGATATTTAAGTATTTCTCTGTTTTATGAAGGAAACTGAAATACAATTTTTCTAGACATGGTAGATCAAAATCTTTCCCCTGCAGAAATTCCATTAACTAAAGGTTAAGCTCTACTCAGATGAGATTTGCAAAGATGTTTCCCTTAACCTCCCTGGGACTGCTGGCAAACCTGGATTTGCCTTTGCAAGTTCAAATGTGTTGTTTTTAATGCAGATCTACCATGACTTCCACTTTGTGCTGGCTTGATTCGGGTTGGGTGCAGCAACAGGAACAAATGGAAGTGCTGATTTGCATGTGAAGCTGGAGATCCGTTTTAGCAAAGCTGCCCTGCCAGGGCAGCACCTCGGTGTGCTCAGCACCGGATCACATTAATCACAGGGTACTCAGCGAACCTATTCAGCTTCCTACAGAACATACAGAAGTACATTTTTAGCAGAAAAAAAGAACTGTGAGTATCCTTGTGACAGTGTACAGATTTCTCAGGGCTTTCTGGAAAGAAACTTGGACTTCTGCCACCTGCTCCGATTGTGTTCATGCATAAATGATCCAGAGAACGGGTTGACATTACCTCTAATTAGGGGTAATAGCAGCCTGCTGCTGAAAGGGCCCGTTCCTTTTCTCTTGCATGTACATCCCTCACTTTTCCTGCATTAGGTCTGGTGGTGGTGCAGCCACGGGGACAGTCAGTTCAGTGACCCAATCCGGCAGAAAACTCAGCCATTAAGAAAAAAATAAATTATTTCATTAGGTCAATCCACGGAAGCTCTGCAGCCATTTGATCGGTGCGATCCACAGGCTGGAGAGGGCTGAGTGAAGGGAGAGGGAGGATACACCCTTTTGGTGGCCTTCCGCAATTGCACGGGACACAGGTGACAGCAAACCCCGGCCCTGAGCCCCGGCGTGACTTCAGAAGAACTCCCTGAAGCATTTCTAAGAGTTAATTAAGCATGGCTGACTCTTTTAGTTTCAGCTCACTCTAGAGTGGCAGTGTAGAGGTGTGTCATAATGAGTAATAGAGTTGGAAATAATTTATCCTCTTTAGTTTGTACCTCAGATGGAGCTGTAAAATGGACAGAAAGGGGAAAGGGTGCACTGCTGTGGTCATCATGTTGATCCTTACTGTATTTTTTCTGTTTAACAAACTGATTTTTCTTTTCTTTCTTACAGGAAAGGAATGTTTCTTTCAAAGCTACAACTCTGAGGCTTGGAATCTCAAAATGACACATGGGTCTGATTTGGAAAAGGGCATGAGATGAAATGCCTTTGCTGATTCTCCAGGTCCTTTTTCTGTTTCTCTGAATGAAATACAAACTCAGCAGAACCTCAGTGTTTAACGTTGTATCTCTCAAAGCCCTTTCCAATAAACAGAAATAAGAGTGATAGACAGGAAAATAGAAGAACAGTGAGTTGAAAGAGTCTATTTTAATACAATTATTTTGAAAAACTCTTTAAGTCCTTGTCAGATGTATGTCTCTTGCAGGTGGTTCTTTTATTTAGAGAAATCTGATTTTAAAGGAACAGGTCAAGACCTAGTGCAGTAGTACTCCCTCATGATGTTACAGTGCAACCATAATTTTGCTCAGAAACAAGAAGAAATAGTGAACAATCCACGTTGGTTATGTATGTGTATATAAACATTTGTCATAGCTTATGAGCAGCAATGCAAAATATTTTTAAATATATAATTCCACAGGACAGAGACTTAAATGTTTTTCTGAGATGTGGAGGAAGTTCTAGTTACTGGTTTTGATGGTTATCAAATCTCCCAAGAAAAAAGTGATAAATCACAATTGGTTTGCTCTTAGCCTCAGGCAGTGGGAGACAAAGAGACCTTCTGTTCTGGGGTTTTTTTGAAAGAAAGAGTAGTGTTTTATAATCACAGATTCATTTAAGTTGGGAAAAACCTTTAGGATGATCAAGTCTAACCACAAACCTAACACTGCCAAATCCACCTCTAAATTTTAACTTATGCTGGACTTCAACTCAAATGGATGCTACACAGCAGTACTGTCACCCAAAAAAGAGAAAGATTGTGGCCAAAATTCCGTGGAGTAGGTGATAGAAGAGCAGAGGCTTTTATGGAAAGACAAAGTCAAACTCATTCTTCTGCCGAGGTGTTTTAATGCCCTTGTAGATAAAAATCTCACCCGAAGTTGTTTATAACAAGAGGGCTGTGTTTATTTCCTGAGAAGGGAATGAGATCAAATCTACATGGTACAGGGAACACCTCTGAAGACTTCAAATCCTTAAGATTATTTTTCTTGGATGTTTTCACTACATCTTTTTAAAAAGAATGCCTTGTACATGAAAAGCATCAAGTGACCTTGTTGGTGTCGATTGTCGTTCTCTTTGTTGTGCTTAAGGAAGTGAAGAATCTTGCAAATCAGAAAGGTGTGAAGAACAAAGCAAAAATGTTAAAAGACAATCTGCCGTGTTTTTCCTACTTGTAAATAAGGTGGGAAATGTCAAAACAATATAAACTAACGATGCTTTTGATTACTAATGGAACTAGCATGGATTCATCTCCGAGGTGACCATTCATATGCCTGTTAATAGTAAAAGTATCCTTGATGAGTATTATTTGTATTGTTGAAATCCTGTTTTTCTTAACTACAAATTGACAGCAACAGGTTTGCTTCTTACACATCCCTTAAGTCTCCTGATGCACAAATTTGATGTGGCACAAGCAGTGTATTACCTCACCTTTTCAGAAATCACCTTCAGAACTCTGCCAAGTATTCACTAGGGAGTTCTGCTCTACACCTCACTTTTCCCTCTGTAAAACACAGAAAAAAATGAGTTACACTTTAAAGGGTGTATATGAACCTGGTAATAAAAAATCTTTCAACGCTGGCATGTGTAGATGTTGAAATGTTCTGCTTAATCAACCTTATCAAGTACTTGCTGATAAAGGAGGGTTTATCAAGAGCTCTGGGCCTACGAAATGTTGTGAAAAACCTGAACTACGTGACAAAGGGTTACCTCGGTCAGTTGTAATTAGAAGAGAGGCTGGATGTTCTCACCGGTCTGGATCCAGTCTGGACAGGTGTAGGTTAGATGTTTACGCATTTTAGGACGGAGGACTACAGAAGGAAGAGGCTGAGGCACAGCTTTGTGTTTTGTTCTGAGGGACGTGTTAGGGGGACACCCCATCCTGTGGGCGCTGGGGAGCGCAGAGGCTCCAGTACGGGGCTGAGGGGCACAAACCCACCGGAAACTACGGATTCCCGTCAGCTGCCCTCGGGCTGAGCTGCTCACCCGGGGGCTCGGGCCGGGGTCTCTGCCGGGGTCTGTGCCGGGGGCTCAGCTCGGGCTCAGCTCGGCTCGGGCTCGGCTCGGGCTCAGCGCCCTCAGGGACCGCGGCCCTCCCCGCGTGGCGCCCCCTGGCGGCGGGCGGCGCACCGGGGCACAGCGCCCGCCCGGGCTGAGCCTCGAGGCTTGACGCCGCTGCCGCCATGGGGTGTTAGCGCGGCCGGGCCCGCTCCGCCGGAAAGAGCCGCCAGCGCCCGCCGGCCCCGCTCCGCCTCGCCTCGCCTCGCCTCGCTCTGCTCCGCGCCCCGGCCCCGAGCCCATGAGCCTGAACGAGCACTCGATGCAGGCGCTGTCCTGGCGGAAGCTCTACCTGAGCCGAGCCAAGCTGAAAGCCTCCAGCCGCACCTCCGCGCTGCTCTCCGGCTTCGCCATGGTGAGCGCCCGGCCCGGCCCGGCGGGCGGGGGGTGGCTCGGGGCCGGGAGCGCTTCTGCTTCTCCCTCCGGAGCCTGCTGCGGTGAGGCCGGGGGGCCGGGCCCAGGCGGCGTGCGGCACCCGGGGCGGCGGGGAGCGGGGCGAGCGCTGCTGCTGCCGCCGCCCCGGAGCGCCCGGCCCGGCCCGGGCAGCGCTCTCGGCAGCACGCTTCGGTAGCTCGTTTGTCTTGGAGCGCTTCGTGGCGCGAGTTCAGAGCTGCCTCTCGGCTTTTCTCTCCGGCAGATAGTGCAGGATTCGTTGGATTGTTCGGTGTTTTCCCCGTGGAGGATGCTCGGGCGGGAGCCGCGGTGCCGTGGGCAGCTCCGCTGGGTGCGGGTGCCGCGCACGGAGCTCCGCAGCGCTGCCCGGCTCGCTGGGTTTCCATCCCGCTCCTCCCAGACCGCTCGCCGGGAGCAGCGAGGGCGAGGGCAGCTGTTGCGCTGCAGCTGCTTTTAAATAAACCAAGAAATGCAGCCGATTAAAGTTTGTGGTGCCGCTCAAGCTCATCCATCATCAGTCCTTTGCAGTTGCGAGGTTTCTAGTTTTTATTTAAAGAAAACTTGAACGTTACTTGGTTTGGAGTTTTGTGCGTGGTTTAGAAACGTTTTTTGATTCGTGTGTGTTTTCTTTCGAGTTTGATATGAAGCGCAGTCTAGTTACCCGAATTATGTCGTATATGGAAGTGCCATATAATTTGAAACACAGTAACTCACAGACTTCCTCATCTGCCCAGACATCTGACAGGCAAAGCTGCAAACTCTGCCCTCAGCCCCTTTATGCAGCTGTTAAAAATGCTTCACGGTTTATAATTTCGCAATTTCACTCCTCTGACTCGTTTTATTTTGATTTTTTTTTTTTGCCCCGCTTTTAACAAACTGAGTATTTTCAGCCGTTGAACCTGCTCCTTTCCAGAGCCATTGTTCCAATGATGCTGTTGGAAAACACAGCAGCCTCCTGACGGTCAAATAAATGTCAGTGTCCTCCTTGAGTGGCTAAAAACAGAGCGCGGCTCTCGGGAGGCGGCGGAGCGCTGCCCGGTGACTGACAGGCGGCTCTGTTCTGTTCGTGCGCTCCGCTCGCTGCTCCTGGGCTATCGCATCCGGCTCAGCTCACACGCCGCTTCTCAGCGTGAGTGTTCCTTGCTGAGCACCCGTTCTGCCTCTCGGAGCAGTTTGTGGCTGCTTGAGTCAGCCCTTTACATTGAGAGAGAGCCTAGGAAAAAATGTCGTTTCTTGGGGTTTATAAATTTTCTAAGGGAGGTTGCATCTCAGTGTAAATGCTGTTGTTTTAAGGTTGTACTTAACGTCATAAATTCCTTGGTTCTTCTCTGAATATATGGTACGTGGACTCAAAATCCGAGGCTTCTATTTGTTTCTTCATTCTCTAGAATACTAGGGGTTCAGTCTCCTGCTGTTGAAAACTGCTGCTTTTGAATTTGTTGCTAGGTTATTTCAGGAAAAAGCCACTTAGTTCCAATTGAGAAAAATCTCTAATTGCCATGAATGTTGCATATGAACGTTCATATTTAAGTTTTCCCAAAGAAAAAAATCCACTTTTTTTTTCTTCCTTTAACAAGTTCAGCATGGAAATCCACCCGTATTCTCTTTGCTTTTGCAGTGACAGACCTAGTCCTAGTCCTCTAGCTGAGACTTCCTAATCTTGGTTCAGAAGAGCTGAGTTAACTTTCGAGTATTTTTAGATGTCTCTTAAAAACTTTGCTGATCTTTCAGAGTTGTTCCTCTCCTTGAAAAGCCGGGCTGTTCTGTCACGCCTGTGCATTGTTTACTGGCTGCAGTTCTTTGGCACCTGATACTCGAACCAAACGCTGCTGAAGTACATTCTAGTCTTGGATCAGAGCTGGCAACAGCGATGAAGGGTCATTGTTCCTCTCTTTTCCTTATCAGGCAAGGAAGAAAGAGCTGAAGTGACAGATCCAGGACCACCCAGTGAATTGATGGGAATTGTCAGGAGTGGAACGTGCTGGTTTCCGTGCCAGCCCCAGTGATCCTTGCTCTTTGATTAAAGAGTGGTTGCATCCTCTAGTAGAAGCTAAGTTTGTCCCCATTGGACTGCTCCCTTTTCATGGAATATTTTTATGTCTAGCTGCAGCCATTTTGCAGAGTTGATTCCCTCAGGATTGATGTTCCCTGGTGGAATGAGGCATGCCAAAGGCAAGGCATTGCTTGGGTCAGTGAGGTGGAGTATGAAACACTCAGCCGGGTTTCAAACCCTGAAGTGTTATGTTTCCTCAGAGAAGATTAAAAACCGGTTTTACAGTTAGTTTTGTTTCAGAGCTCCACATCGGGATTTGCTGTTGTGTGTGAGCTTCAGAAACAGTTGCAGGACTGTTGATGGCAACTGATGTGAGAGCCGAGCTTGCCCCAGTAAACCTGAGCATTTCCTTCACTCAGGTTTCCATGGATGCTATCACCAGTGCCATATGTCTGAAGGAAAATCTGTGAAGTTTATAACCTCATTTAGTACACTTTTCCAATTTATGGAGCCAGCTAGTAGTATCAATCCCCCAAATTGTTAGAGAAAGAAATTGTAGATTGTAGGGGATGTGTAGTGCATTAAAGAATGGAGGATTCATTCCGTACTCTGGTGGGGGCATCAGATATTTCTCACTTCTGTATTTTAGCCCAGATATGTTGCATGATCTTCCCTCTCATGATTGGCTTTATCTGTTTTTATTTTTTTCAGTGAATAGACTGTCAGGTTATTTTTGTCTGAACAATTATTCTCACTCGTTGGCATCATTTTGTCACCAGGGATGCATAACACAGTAGCATGACAATTTTACAATATGGGAGTCAGAAACCATAGGAAAGTTGTTAAATGCCACCAGAAGACTCAACGTATCCTGCCACCAATTAACAGCTTTGTGGAAAGAACTGAGTCAGAACTGTGGGTCTGAATTGTACACTGTGGTTGGCTTCCTTACATGTAGGATTCAGAAGTTGATATTTACCAGCCAGCTGTTTTCTTTTAAATACCTCTAGTGGTCCAAGCTGGCTGGGCTTTGTCTAGATGGGATATGTATGCTTCAAATATTGAATATCATCAAAGAACTGTCAACTCTTGCCTTTGAAATATGGCCAGTGTGGTCTCCTGAAGACAGCTTCACTTATGTTCTGCAGAAGATTGACTGCAGAGATAAATATTTATGAAATTGATTTCCATACTAACTGTTGGTGCTGAGATAAGGTTAGGTGGGACCTGTCTGGGGCCACTGGTGTCAGCTGTACAGGTGTCTGTCTAGTAAAGATCACTTGGCTGTTCTAAATACTAAAACAATCTCTGTAGAAGTTTTTAAGTGATATTTAGCTGGGTTGCTGGTGGAATAGCATTAGACAGTGGCATTTTGTAACCTGCAGGAGAGAGTTACAGGCCCAGTTTTGTGGCTTCTGCTTCCACTTAGCCTCCTGTAATGCTGCTGCACTTAGAGGTTACAGCTGTGCTGGAGAATCTTCCCCCATGCAAAAAGTTTTTTCTATTTCAGTCACAAAAGGAAAGTTTTGTGCCTCCTTTAGCATCCCTGTCTCGGTTATTGAGAGCAAGGCAGGCAGTGTGGGGTGTTTGGGGCTCCTGCTGTTCTGTCTTGGAGCAGCTGTGGGTGGCTGCTGTAGTTTGGAGGATGTAAAGAGGATATTGAGCCTCTGGATAATCTGAACTTGTACTTACTGAATGGATTTGTTGTAAGTTACACTGTGTAGAAGGGTATTACCTCCTCAAGATGCATTTGCTCCAGTCACATGGGTATTGCCTTTTCATGTTTCCTGGCAAAATAAAATGAGATCCTGTATTTGTATTCCAGTGTCAGCATCAGCAAATATTAATGTGTTTTGCCATTCTGCAGCAAACAATAATCTGCAGAGTGAAAATCCTGGACTAATGGATGAATGATGCTTAGTTTCCCTTCTGTATGAAACCAGTAAATAAGATCATTATTTTGACTTATCTGTTTTTAATTTCCGGTGAGTTATTCTGGCTCATACAGAGCCTCTGTATGAGTTGTTTATAACTCTTTATGAATGGTGCAGACAGTCTGTGAGAGCCTGGCTCTGTGCCTCTGTCTCTGGAGTGAATTGTACTGTCAGGAAAACAGGGAGCCAGCCAGAGGAGCTGATTCCCAGTGATGCTCTGACACTCAGCTCATTATTGAGTTTCCTCTGTGGTCCCACCCATAGACAAGCAGTGATGGATGGGCCCTCAAAAACGCAGTTGTGATGTTTGAACAACACAGCTTTCTTTTTAGCCATTCCTGATATGCTAGACTGTACAAGATGCAGTCCCAGTACAGGGTTATATTCCCACCAACCTGAGCTCAGAGACATCTTTGTGGGGAAGGGGAGGAGAGGAAGTAAATAATAAATAATAGCTCATAAATAATACAGATTTACTTGAGATAAAGCATTTTGTTTCCTTTTCTCTACAGCACTGTCTACTGATCTGAAAAAGATGTAAGCCTCTGATTTTAATTTATGAGCAGGGGCTTTATTTAAGCCTCTCTGGTCTAATAAGACATGGGAGCCTTATGAATAAGTAAGTGAAATAAACTTGGTCAGTATACTGAACTTAAAAAAAGTTGAAGTGCAGATTTTTCTGGAGGGCAAGTTGTTAAATTTCCATTCCTTTACAATATGATTGTAATCAGGCTGCTGTGACTTTAAAATCCAGGACTGTTGAAGGCTTAACACAGTTATCTTCTAAAAACATCAGAATTCCCACCATTTTTAGGCTTATGAGAGCTTCAGTCTTGTGTCCTAATGTCACGAGTCCTTTAGTTTTGTCAAGAAGCTGCACTTCAGATGCACAGCTTTGTCAAGAGCCGTAGTAAATCTGTCAGTCATATCTGTAGGATGATCTGAAGTTAAAGTTAGCTCTTCTTTGAAGCAGGGATTAGCCCAGATGACCTCTTGAGGTGTCTTCCAGCCCACGTTGCACTGCGCTTACGCAGCGAGGAAGGGCACTTGCAGCACGGCAGCTGCACGGTCAGATCATGCAGCAAGTGTTCAGAGGAGCCTTGAGAGTGGTGGAGGATAAAGTGCTAAAAGTGTTGTATTGGAAAGTGCAGCCACTGACGACAGCTCCTGCCCTGAGCAGCTCTTCTGAACGAGCAGAGCAGGAACATATCCTGCCTGGAACGTTGGCATGTACCTGTGAGTTCAGGCTTTGTATATATGTGGATCATATCAGGTGACCTCAGCAGGGCCCTGTTCTTGCAGGTATTACTTTACAAGAGCAGTTGTGGTCTGTTTATTTTGAAATTGCAGCATGAGCAAAGGAGGGAAGAACTTCTGACACTTTGTGTCTCTGTTAGAAAACAGGCACAGGCCCTCATGGTGAAAAATGAAACTTTTTGTTTTAGGTGCCTGGCTCACGCTTGGTCCAGGAAGGAAACTCAGAGCTGAAAAGAGTTGGCAGTTTTTCTGCTAGTTTACATTGAAAGAGTTCCTAAATTAGCTTTGCTGAGAGTTTGAGGAGACAGAAAACATGAACTGATTTTTTTCCTTAGGCTGAGGTTACTCTGCCAGACATGAACACAAGGAGCTCAAAATCAGATGCTTGATATCATTAGTATGGAGGCGTTGATAAATGGAAATATAAAATGTCTTCAATGTTGGGCAAACTAAACACAATCAGTTCTTAAAATAAAATAAAGTCTTCATCTCGTGAAGCTCTTTAGTGCCATGTTTATGTTATCATACTAAGAACTAGGATAAAGGATTAAAGTGCCTTGTCATGCTGGATGGCTTTGCATCTAGGCACAGCAGAAGACTTACAAAAAAATCTTTAAGTATGAAAATGAATCCTCAGTGGTGAAGGATTGCAATTGTTCTGTGAAAAATGCAGGAAGCCCAACATCCCACGAGTACATTGCGACTTAACAAGCAATCCTGCAGAAGAGAGACCTGACAAGCAAATGTTTATCCTCTCAATCATGAAGTTTCCCACAGCTGAAAAGTGGTATTTTTAAATCCTTGAGCAAAGACTGTATATGCATTAATATAATTTCTTGTTTAGTTTCTCAGAGCACTGGGAAACTGCTTGCTAGTTGGCTGGGTTATTAGGCTCATGACAATAAAAGCTTTCAATAAAGGAATTAAACAACTGGCAAATGGCCTTGAATGCCTGTTGAAACATGTCTGAGCAAAGCTCTGGGTTGCCTTAATGTATTGGGTGCATTAGTGATTAAGGGTTCTGTGTCCTGGAACATGCGTAAGAAGATGGGATCCAGGACAGCTTGGCTCAGCCCTTGCAAAATAGTGAGGGTTGAATGCTCCTGTTGCTTTTGCAGCTTTGAGCCCTGGTTTCCATGCCTCCCTGCACCTGTATTACCCATGAATCTTTCTTCCTATCAGCTTGATGTGCTTGTATTTCAGATTACTGTCAGGCTTTTTTCCTCTGCATTTTACCTGTATTTTGCCTGTTTAATGAGTTCCTTTGAGAAAGAGCACTGAACGTAGAGACCTTTGTGCATTATTCCCTCTTTGGAACTATCCTTTGTCTGAAAGGCAAATTTATCAGGAAAGATCATTTCAGGAGAGCTGTTGGGATTAATGTCACTCATCAATTGCACATATGCACAAAACCACCTGGCAGTTTTAAAACCAGCTAAAAGGCATTCTAATTAATTTTATTTGTCAGAATTATTCCATCTGGTTTTATGAGTTTCCTAGGACTGTTATTTAATCTGATTTTTTTACTCCTTAGGCACAGGCATGCTTGGAGATCTTAAGGTTACAAGAAGGTCATGGCTGCATGTGGTAATGGAGGGCTGGAACATCTTCATGAGTAGCCTCATCTTTGGGGAGCAGTGATGTCTGGAAGCACTGTGTTATCTTTTCTGGAGACGTTGTCTTTCCTCCAGCCTCCAACAGGCTTGATCAGCTGGCATGAGCATTGTGGAGAATCACATTTTGAATCTGTGTCCCAGAGTCTGCTTAAATACTTGAGTGAAAGAATATAGCTGAGAGCCCCATGGAAAGGAGATCTTTCTCATGAAAAATTTCTGCACTTTAGAACCTCAACCCAAATAGCCAAGGAGAAAGGACCACCGAGGTTGTTTCAGGCAGTCCCCTGCCTTCGCAGCCTTTCACAGATACTTCAAAAGACTTCATAAGTAAAGATCAAAAGCTGTGCCTTCAATATAACACAAAAGAAGAAATATTTAACTTAAGGAGTCCAAGTCATAAGGGTCAGCTGTTTTGCTGGCCTGAGCTGGAGGTGGCAGGGTGGTTGTGGCTCTGCTCTACAACAGAGCAGTAAGTGTGAAAACAGTGGCCTTTGCTTGATAGCTCATTAGGTCCTAAATTTGGACCTAATGAAGAGGGTGCAGATTGACTTGAAGAGAAATGTAATAGACTTTACTTTGTTTGGATCAGATGATCTTCCAGAAACATGGTGTAAACTTTTAATAACCTGTAGTCAAATAATATAAGATGTAGGTAACTGCATCTCCCTCTCCCTTCCCTTTCAGGTGGCTATGGTGGAAGTTCAGCTTGACCCAGACCACGACTATCCTCAGGGGCTCTTGATTGCCTTCAGTGCCTGCACTACTGTGCTTGTTGCAGTTCACCTTTTTGCACTCATGATAAGTACCTGCATCCTTCCAAACATAGAGGCTGTTAGCAATGTGCATAACCTCAACTCTGTCAAGGAATCTCCTCACGAGCGCATGCACCGGCACATTGAGCTCGCCTGGGCGTTCTCCACTGTCATTGGGACTTTGCTCTTTCTTGCAGAAGTGGTGTTACTGTGCTGGGTGAAGTTCCTTCCTTTAAAGAAGAAAACTGACAGCACCCCGCAGAGCAACAGTTCCACCATCACATCAGGACAGGCAGCAGCCATTGCATCGACGTCCATTATGGTGCCCTTTGGGTTGATTTTCATTGTGTTTGCAGTCCACTTCTACCGGTCCCTGGTGAGCCACAAAACAGACAGGCAATTTCAGGAACTCAATGAACTCGCTGAATTTGCACGGCTCCAGGATCAGCTGGATCACAGAGGTGATGCTGTTACTTCAGCTGTCACCAATTTTGTGTAAACCTGTGCTTAAGAAAATAAACCCACTATTCTGCTTCTGCCTTATGGTGACTCCCTGTGGATGAACTGGTTGAACTGCTGATTACCATTTAAAGAATAATTATAAATATTGTTCTAACCCTTTAGGGAGGGAAAAAAAATCTTCCTTTCATACAAGTTTTGCTATCTGAAGGAATGGATGGTGGGGTGTGACAGCACTGTGTGTGCATCCCTCCTCCTGTGAACACTGTCTCGCATCTTTCTCGTTAATGCTGAATGGTGGCTGTATAAATACATGGAAAATAACATTGTACATTTGGGTATTTGTTAGGAATGGGTAGAGAAGTTGTGGATTTTTTTTCTCTGTTTATCTGATGTTGGCATTTACTAGAAGATACTGCTTGTCCTATCCATATTGCATGGCATGATACAAATTACTTGGGACAGGCAGCAATTAGCGCTCGCTTTCAGTGCTAGCGCTGCTCTCCCTGGAAAGCCTGACAGATGGTAGGAGTGAAAGCTTTCCCAGCACTTTCCCCAGTATGTTTTGCTGCCAAGTAATTATTACTTTGCTGATTTCTCCAGTGCCTTTTTCCCGTGGCACTTACACATTTTGTAACTTGCTAAACACCCAGGACTAGACTTACTGCGATGTGGTGTGGCCACAGGAGTAGGAATGAGACTTGACTTTTCTCTTCCGCGGAAGAAAATAGAAGCAATAACTGTTTTAAAGTTCTCATGAGCTGGCACATATTATCTGGAGAGATAGATTTGCCTGTTTCTCTTTTAAGAATCCTTTTTTTAAAAAGAAGGAACTAGATGGAAATTATCACTGGATTTTTTTTTTTGCTTGAAAATCAGAACCACTGCTGTTTTTTTCCAAGCCAAAGTAGGAATTATTTTATACTTTTATATTGAAAAAATATTTTTAATAAATCCTCAGAAGCAAGCAGCAAAAGGTGCTTTCTCTGTGTTGGATTCCCAAGTAATTAGCTATGCCTTGGTCTTCCTTGTTTAAAAAAGTGTTCTCCTTGCTCAAGTGTTGTATTTAATAACTCATTATACATTTTTGCTTCCAAAGGATCTGGAAGACAACTTTTCTTGATGTATATTTATTTATGAAAGTAGGTTATTTGTAATTAATACTGCTGCTTTCTTTCAGACACCTCTGTGACGGCAAGGCTGCTGTGTTGTTCATTTCCTCTGAGCAAAAACCTCCATTTGGTCTCCTAGATAGGAGGTTTGGCCAAGAAAGATTCCAGCAGTTGTCCTGGGCTGCTTCAGTAATTCTGGCTATGTCTAGGAGTTGAATTTTTTGGAGCACAGTTCTTCTGTAGAGTAGCTTTGGGCTTAAATGAGTAAAAGCTGTTTTTTTCACACGAACTGAGACAAGTTTCAAGCCAAAGGGGAAAAAAAAACCCCAAACTAGCTATCACTAGTCATAGCTATCCCTGTGGAATAGAAACCTGGGATTTGCCAGGAGGCAGGAGGGACTGTGACAGTCCAGGGAGCTGTGCCTGACACCTGGGCTGAACGTGGTCTCTCACACCAAGCTCCATCTCAGGTTATTCCAGCCTACCTGCAGTCTGCACCAAGTGCCTCTGGAGTTCAGGTGCAGAGTGTGGTCACTGCTGAAGCAGATGGGAACTGACCTCTCCTGTCAGCAGCACTGCAGTGCAAAGTGTTGACAAGGTCACCTGTGGTGCCTTTGTATTCTAAAAACATGACTATAAAAAAAGAACAAAACAACCTGCTGGTCTCTTTGTTTTTTCAGCAGCAGTAGTGGTTCACAAGCAGCAAACAGCTTTCCACTTGGTGTTTTCACCTGTGAAGTGAAGTCCTGGCATACAGAGGCCAAACTGGATTTTCTCAGCTCTGCCATTACATGCTTCAAATATATTCTGTTCCTGATGTAAATCTGATGGTGAGGATTGTAACTACAGACTCACAGGTGTTTGTTCACGGAGCACTGGAAGCATTGCTTTATAAAGGCAATAAGGAAGCAGCATTCCAAACCACAAAATGTTGGTAGTAGGCACAAAATGTATTTTCCCATCCAAGACAGAACTTTACCAGTTCTGGTTTGGGGAAGCAGGCCCCTAAAATCTCCCACTAAAGGAAGAAAACCTGACCTGGTATTCACACCAGAGCAATTGATTGGAAGGGTGTGGTCAGGTGTAAAAATTTTACTTCTGTCTGTAAATTTTGTATTTAGAAGTTACATGGTTTTGAATGGAAGTCCAGAAGATCAGTTTTCTGAGTTTATTTTGTAAAATTTCTTGCTGTTCTGAATAAGTAGCAGAATTTTTCTTTGATTTGTGGATCTTTTACAAAGTGACTAAGAAGTGTGGATTTTCTTGTTTCTGACACACGGAATTAGAAGCTAGTGAGACATGGTTATTTTTAGTTTTCTCAAGCTGGTAGGTCTGAGCTAATGGCACTGTTATTACAGCTAATTTTCTGACTATTTTCTGCACTTTAAGCCATGATATCAAGTATGTTTTTGTCATTTTCAACCTGTGGAAATGGTCATGAAAGTTACTCCTTGGGTAGTTTTGTCACTGTGTACCCAGGCAGTAACCAGACACAAACACATGGATCTAAACATTGAGTGCACTTAAAATTTTTTATCCCTTATTTATACTAACGTTGTTAGGCATTTACCTCAATAATTTTAAACATTGGTTATTGTATATCACTTATTTGGGTATAAAATACTTTCATGAAATAAAATATACTCAATTGTTGTGGATTATTTTTTTTCTAGAGGCCTAAAATATACTTATTAACTGAAACATGACCTGTTGTAACTTCAAAAGGCATTTGGGGTCACAGGTATGTATTGGGCTATGTTTGGGCAGAGTGGAAGACACAATTACTTGATTGTATTTTTCTATATGCTTTTAAAACACATCCTGGAAACCCTCCTTCTCTAAAGCAAAGGCCTTGAAACCACCAGGAGTGTGATTTCTTAGCAGGAGGATTAAGAGGAGCTGAGCAAAGAGTCACTCTGCCTCTCTTCCATCCTTTTGGTGCTTGTCTTTTGGGTTTTTCCCCATTAATTTTTTTTCCTTTCTTTTCCAAAATAATGGGGGGTGGGAGGAGGCTACTGAGCAAAGCCCCCTGCAGAAGGAAGTATACCTGAACAGCCTTGAGGGAGGGATGAGGCTGACTGCAACACAAAAACCACGGTGTGGGTTTGACACTCGAAGGAATAAATAACCCAGGATTGTGTTCTTGAATTTTTTTTCTTCATCTGGTTATTAATTATGGCTGTCATCAAACGTTGCCCGGGCCTCGGCTATAACAGCAGCTGGATCACGTAGTTTAATCTAAATAAAAAGAACACAAATCAGTTATGCAGTGTAATTGAAGAAGCTTAAGGTTTTATAGATCTTAATTTCTTCAGCATTATTGGAGAGTCTCCCACGTATCAGGACTTGAGCTGATATTGCAGCCTTTCAATTCTTTAGAAACAACTACACTCCCCTAATTTTATTAGTGTGCTGAACATTATCTCCTTGAAATTCCTCTGTGTGGGTGACTTCAACAAAACACACTCTTGGGCAAAAGTGGCTTTGATTTGTAGCCTGTTAGGTCTCACATATAATTTTAATAAAGGGGGTAGTGGTGACAAAAATTTATGAAAACCTGAATTCAGTTTTTCTCCTTTTATCAATTACTTCATATTCTGAGATCAACAGATCTCTACCCATTGAAAGCACAATAACAGCAGTGAAAGTTTATGCTTTGTTTTTGCTTATAGAGCAGAAGAGGATTGGATCATCACTTGGTCTTCAGGGAGTTAAATAAACAGCCAGACTTGCACATCCTGCCTTAGTGTACCAGTAGTTCATCCCAGGCTGTTGGATTGTTGAGGCTCTTCTCAGTGACCTTTGACAAACCACATATAGTAAATATTTTTAGCCACAGAAGTGCTGCTCCTTTCACTTTTTGCAAAATAGAGATTGTTTTTCTCTGGTGGGTATTTGGGGTTTATTATTCTGTACTGCTGTAGGTGTGCCTGGTACTTACAGGATTAACTGGCTTGTCAAAATTGTGCTCAAAGAGCCTTTGGCTATAGAAAGCAGATTTGAAAAGACAGGGGCAGTGAAGATTGTGAGCTGTGAGCTTTGGAAGGCTGCATGTGCCTGGTGTCACATGCAACAGCCCTGTCCCTGGGCCAGAGGAAGGTGGGTGGCTTTACCTGCCATGGGGCTGTGCTACTCCCTCTTACTGGAGCAGAGTGGTGAGCTGTAATTATCCAGGGAGGTTCTGCTTGGCTCTAACTGAAGGGGAGCTTCCCCAGCTCACCCTGCACTGACCATTTTTGTTTCACATGTTTGCAGCCCATGAGGGTTCAAGCTGAGACTCTTAGGGCCAGCTCTCACTTGGAGTCACATCTGTTCACTGCTGATTCCCATTTCCTCTTCCTCCAAGGGCACAGAGCTGGGGACAGGCTCTCCTGTCCACCAAAGTGTCGTGCAAGGACCCAGTGGCTGCCAGGCTGATGGCCCAGTGTGGCTTTGTGTCTCACCAAATCTTTGGGATAGGGCCTGGCTCTTCCTCTGCAGTGTGTGTCAGTCAAGGGAAAAGAGGAGCAGAGGATGTGGGCTCTAGGACACCATCTGCCCCCCTTGGGCCCAGGTGGGAAGCTGCACACACCCCTCTGCCCCCAGGGCTGCTGGGCACAGCAGTGAGCCCCTGACTTGGGGAAAGAGCTGCTGTTGGCCCTGCAGGGTCTGCTCAGCCTCAGCAACTGGGCTTGGTGAAATCATTTGGTCTTGACACAAATCCCACTATTGTCTGTGCCTCTATTGTCCCCATTTCCTTTGTGCTGCTCCAGGTCTCTGAGCAGTTCTGGTGCATGAGAACTGCACTTTTTCAGATGTAGGCAATTGGGAGGCTCCAGCAGAGGCTGCATGAGCTGTTAGTCCCTGTGGGGCCATTTAGGATGCTGCTGGCCAAAAGACTCTGAGCACACACCCCATGGGGGAAATCTCTTGAGAAGTGAAATGCTACCTGGAGAGCTGACCCGAGCATTGATGAATACAAACACTAACATTTTCAAGCAATTACCTCTGGGAAGGGAAATTCAGAAGGGGCTGGAGCATTGTCTCTGCCAAAGTCAACCAGAACTCCACACTTTGGTATATCTGCTACCCAGATGCCTTCTAACAGCTCTCCCTTGTCTAGGTAGAAGTATTTTCCTGGGCCATGCTTCTTGCCATCTTTCCAACCTCCTTCGTACCGATTTCCATTTGCTGCAATTGAATACACGAACAGACCTTGAAATTTACACCATTGTGTTAAGGGGTTACAAATTAAATCGATCAACAGAGCAAACCAGCAGAGGAGAAGATCATGTGTTTGGCTCCTCTTAGTAATTTCAAGGTGGCTGTGGTACTGTGTGTCATTTTGATTTTGCAGTGCTCCATTTGCTGTGCCTCAGAGGGAGAAAATGCTGCAGAAGGAGCCCACGTTTGCTCACTTGGAACCAGGGCTCTGCTCACCTGCTTTGTTCTCACAGTGATACTCATTTTTTGCTGACACAAGGAGCCAGTATGCTCAAGGTAAGGGACTGATCCCTGAGTCACAACATGAATTTTTCACAACATGAAAAATTACAGGACACAAGTTTCAGATTTGTCACTGCAACAAATCACATTCAAGGTAAGGGACTGGTCCCTGAGTCACTCTTCACAACATGAAAAATTACAGGACACAAGTTTCAGATTTGTCACTGCAACAAATCACACAGGAACTCTGGCTTGAAAAGGTTTGCTTGTCTGGGCAAGGAACAGAGCACTGATTGCTGTCCAGTCAAAATAATCTTGATTTCAAAGAATACTTTTAGTTAAGTTTTTCCTCAGTGAATTACAGGGTGAGAATTGCTGCAAGAGTCTGAATGGTTCTGGCAGTCAGTTACAGGCTGTTTTTCCAGCTGCACTGCTTCTCTTGGCATTTTTCTGCAAGTTGAGAGAGGCTTTTTTTGGGCTCTCTGCTGCTCTCCAGGAATCCACCCATCCATCACTAACAGGGAAAGCAGAGCTGCAAGAGGAAGGGAGCAGCCTCATGCATGGATGCTGGTTGAGAAAGGGCATCATACCCATGGTGATGCTAGGGGTTGGGATAGATCCAGACCACCCTGCTGTCACTAGGAGAGTCCTCTGCTCACCCCTTTTCCTACAAACAGTGTTTCTAAGCCCAAACCCATGGGGATTTCTAACCATGTTAGTGAAAATACCTTTGAGTCTCAGCTGAACTCTGCCACTCTTCATCACAAGAAGTGGCTGAAATACCAGCACACCCCACACAGTGCTGCAGAGATAGCTGGGACCTGTCAGGATGCTGTAAGGGAAGAGGGGAAAACCAAAAGGCTTCCAGGGAATGTGGCTGCTGGGCTGCTCAGGCAGGG